AGCCTCTAACTTATAGGACTTCCTTGCAAGAATAAGGCAAAGTTTAGTTTCCTTGCACGAAGGAACCAATAAACATGAACAACAAGAGCAATACCATAAGCACACAAAGACAACCAAAAATAAGAAAATAGAAAAACACAACCAACAATTTATTTGTGCCATGAACATATTGAGAGATGGGAGATAGAGATGAAGCGTACCACAACATATGAACCTGTAAAACCCTGTAATCAAGACCATGAAATCGCTAGGGTTTTAAAATGGAAATGGAGAAATCAAAAATTCAAATTTCAGGTTATATGCACAAATGAGGTCGTCTTGGAAAGCCACAATTTGATACATCAAATCGGCCATTTGTCCAAAGGTAGCAGCAATCGAAGAAAGCGAGGTCTGACCTTACCAAACTGGTTTTGGCGCACAGGGGAGAGATGGAAAAGGAAGAAGAAAACTGTTAGAGAAGAAAGAAGGGTCTGGCATTACCAAAACGGTTTTGGCACACAGGGGAGCTGCTGGAAAAGGATAGAGAAGAGGATTGGGGCACATGGGAGCTACCGGAAGAGGACTTTAACCATTGAAATTAAAGTTAATGCATTAACAAGTTGTACATTATGCTTTATAACTTGTTATTAAGAGTTTTTTGAATTTCTTGCATAAAATGGTTGTAATATATGCTTCAAGAGTTGTAATTAAGATAATGACCTAAATGCTTATATATGTAGCATAGATATTATATTGGGTCAAATATATGGATTTAAGATGAATCTTTAATTATTAGTAAACGTTTAAATACTTTCTACGGAACAACTACGAAATAAAACAAACAAAACTATGGACATAATTAAGGAAATATCGATTGTTATTTGTAATAACAATAATTTATGCGTACATGATTTTATATTAAATTTACACAATGAGTTGAATACTGTTATTCCTATTCAATAATTCAGAGGATGATATTATATATATATATATATATATATATATCTGTTTTATGTAAATTATGTATTAAAAATGTAAAATGCAAGTTTTAATGTTTATGTGTACGATGAAAAAATTAGTAGCTGATTCTTAACGTACAACATCTAAAAACTAAGTTTTTATGGTAATTAGAGCATCTCCAACATGTATGTTATATGTAGAAATAAACAATTTTAAATCCTTAGACAATATAACGTTGCAATAAATTGTTAGAACACAATTCCATGAACTAACAAGTTTTAATTATTGATAAATTGTAATTTTAGTGTTTTTATATGACACATTTAAAAAGTGCCATACAATTAAGTTGTAATATGAGACTTTACAAAGGTATCATATATAACTGATAGTATTTGTTAGGTCGTCTAACATATTTTCTTAACAGCTTACTGTAACATCATTATATATATATATATGATTGGGTTCACGTGAGATCAAAGGTTTTTCGTGAGACTCGTAAGACTAATTTATGTTCATTGATCAACTTTATAAGCTAATGATCTAATGGTCTAAAGTTGCACGATGGCAATTTTTGTGATTATTGAGAAGTCTCGTGGCGTTTATGAATGTTCAGATTGTCAGATTCTAGATTTAATTCAAAGGTTGAGAATTGGTCTTACGGGTCTCATAAAAAACCATTGGTCTCACATGAAAAAAATTGAAAAAAAAAATCAGTAATTATGTTATATTTAGTATTTCCGATATTACTCTTTAACAAATTAAAAATGAAAAAAAATATTAAATACAACCCCTTTCCAGAGTTTTTTCTTGAATCAAATTATGTATTTTGAAAAGAAAAAAAAATAATGTATATTTTTTATTGAATTGTTATTATGAAATGTTATCATGAAATGTGTTGTTTCATATGTGAAACAGTACTGATGTGAAACTAGGGTAACAAAAATTGTTGTTGTTTCATACGAGACGCAATAATTTGTTTGGTTTCATATAAAAAACAAAACGGTTGAAAAAGAGTGGATGTAACCAAATAAGATAATTAAGAAAGTAATATTTTGTTAAAGATAAATATGATTAATTTGATATTACTATAAAAGTACCCACGCAATGCAGCGAGATACATCTTAATTCGAATATTTCATTTTATTTTTTGTCTCTATCGATGTTATAATACGATTTAATGTGGTTTTGAGAAAACTATATGTTTTTATTTTTGAATCAAATATAAATTTGAAGATATCGTAAAAAATTAAAAAAATTAATTGATATTAGTATCAAATTAACTATTTAATCTCGTTTTTTTGTTTAATTTCTTTAATTCAATTTTTTATTAAATTTAATCTATACTATATCATAAAACATTTGACAAAAACTCTTAAAAACTACTTTTTATGCGTAAAATACTGTTTATTAATGCATATTACTTAAAACTCAAGATTGCAAATAGATTGTGCGTAAGTACAACTTATTAAAGCTTCATATCTGAATTCGTGCAACTAACTACAAATAAACATAATCAAATACAAGATAAACAACT